TTTACCCTCGCTGACACAGCAGGTAAATAAAACTGTCCCAGCCCGCCAGGGTGCTTACCCTGGCGAGCCGCGTGCCGAACGTTGCCAACCCCTGCTTTATCGCCTCCACTCAACTTTCCCATCATGTAGCACTCAGTGGTTTCAGTGTCAGAGAGGATGTTCCCAGATGTTGCTTCAAAATTTGCCATCGATGGGTCGATACAGAGAAAAGTACATAGATGCTTTGAATTACATAAAAAAATTCAGCAGCCTCAATAGAAGGTGATGCTGCATCACTGACCACCAAGTTCAATGAATGAGAACTGCATGGGACAAAAAAGCTCGAGGGTTTAACTCTCGGATCCGTGTCTGCACTCCTCTGTTCTTTCCTCTCATGTTGGCACCATTATCGTAGCCCTGACCTCTCATGTTAGCTTTCGCAATTCCCGTATCTTCCAGCTTTTTAAGAAGCACATTTATCATACCAGCTCCTGTAGTATCATCAATGTCCATACATTTCTAGGAGGCCAATCCTGAAGTCCTTACTCAGCGGAGAAACTCTCATTACCTGTAAAAGGGATCTTGAGTCTGTTTGGGATCTGAGCCTACAATTCTGGTTCACTCCCTGCTGCATTTGCTACCACTGATAAATCCACATAAGGAACCTCTCATCAGCTATTAGAATAACTCAACAGGTGATGATTGCTGCTGGGCTGGATTAAAAAGGCCAGCCACAGTGAGACACAATAAAACTACTGCTGCTCCCCACAAGCTGCTGACAGGACAGAGGGAGTACCTCCCTTTTTGTGCTTGAGCTATGTATCACTATCTTTCATCGCTTGGCTCCCCCCCGGCCCTCTGCCTGTCAACACACGTTAAAGGAGGAGGAGAATCAGACCAAAGTCAATTGCTGTGTTTCCTCTCCTGCAATGCCAGTTGGTTATACACACTCCCTCCTGAGCCAAGCATCCGCCATCTCTCCTGGTGCTTGGTGAACTGGTGACACATGGAAGCTGTAGTTAGAAAACAACTTTATTTTTAATAGTTCAAATATATAGATCCAAAAAAAACCCCACCAACTGGAGTTAAAATGACTTGGCAGGCTATATCGGCATTTGTGTGTCAGGTGATTTATTGGATACACTGGGTTTTCGTGCTGCACTGAGAGCTCGATACACTAATGTGTGCTATTTATCCACAGAACAGGTACAGCAAGAGCAACAGAGCTGCAGGCTTCTCCCATGCTGCCCACCAGCAGTGTGCCCCAACACTGCTCTAGTGGGACCATTCCTCGGGGAAATATTGTGCTGGGGTCTCCATGCCCATCTAGTCGCTGGTCTCATTGCTGAGACGGGTGGGCAGAGTTACTAATAGAGTTACTGCCAATTATGTGTTGCGGACACTAGGAACTGGACTGAAACCACCCAGGTTTCATCTCACAAAGGTAAAAGAAGGCTGGTATAACAAGTGGACATTGTATAGGAATTGCAAAAAAAAAGTGTTCAGTTTCCAAGGGAAGCACTCAAAAGTTAGGAAACACTAGACTTAAGGTTGCTCTTGTGTGTATGCATTAGGATACAGTTTTTAATTACGTACTATTTTTTTACACAGGCCCCCTGCCTCATTTGCAGGATGGATGGGACTCACTGATTGTGAGCAGCTATTCAGTATTGTTTTATTCTCATTGTGTGGCCTAATTTACTGCACACTTTTCAAGACTATAAGCAACTGAAAACGGGGTCTTTTGATGGAAAGTGTTAAATAACCTTAACATTAGGTGGTGCTGTCAGCTCCCCCTATACTATATAAATATATGTGAATATAAGAAAACTTTGTTTTCAGTCATTACCATTCTGGACTGGACTTAGAGGGTACCTCCCTTTTTCTGCTTGAACTGTGCATATCACTGTCTTTTATCACTTGGCTCCCACTGGCTCTCTCAGGAGATGAGAGGTTTTGTATCACGTTACCAATTCTTGAAACCAGCTAGTCCCTCTTCTTGAAATGGTTGTACCATTTTCTAAAACACTGCTGCAGAGAGCATTGCTGTGTTGGTGTCGAGATATTTTCTGGGAAGGGGCAAAACCAGAAGCAGTTTTGGTTTTGAATAACCAAACGCAGAGGTGGCTAGGTCAATGGAAGAATGCTTCTATCAACCCAGCTACCATCATTCAGGAGGTGGTGTTTCTACAGCGACAGAAAAACACCTTCCAATGGTGTAGGCTGTGTCTACATAAAGAGTTACATTGGCATAGCTATGCCATTGTAGCTATGTTGCTATAGTCCTCATAGGATAGACATGGCCTGTCTGTAGGATGTGCCTCTTCCACTCCCTACAGAACAATGCCAGTGTCTCCAACAGTTTTGGAGTGCTAGATTTTCAAATGAGTCCAGCATATACATGCACATACAAAATATAAATGCAAATGCATGCCTAGTTTGCATGAGTGATTGCACAGTTTAGATAGCTGCTAAAGCAAATAGACAACGAGGCTCATTTTCTCTAAGCAGCTCCTTGAATTGTGCGTATAATTGGAGGAAGTGTGTGTGCAAGTTAGGCAATTGGGTATGAAAACTCATACACAACTCATTTGAAAATCTAGCTCTGAGCCTTGACTTTTCATAGATCAGGACTTTCAGGCACTCAGAAAATATGCTTACTTCTATGCACAAACAGGGAACTACGCATACATCCACATGCTTGTGAGTATGCATATATTCATGTTATGCATGTACAATTAACTGTATGTATGCATGCACATAGTTTGCAGCTGCATCTGATATTTTAAATTAGCCTATTGCATTTACTGAAAATTGTCAGTGGCAATAAAGCACAAGGAAGGGAGAAGAAAGAAATCATAACTGATGAATAAAATACATTCTCCTTATATTGGCAGGAGTCTGCAAGCAAGAGGATGCATGCCTATAAAGAATCATCTGCATAAAGAAAGGTCCCCTGGTGTGCAAACTTTACAAGAGCTGACATGAATGTGTATCTGAGTTAGAGACCTGTCAGTCCAGCTTTCAAACATTGTCACAGCTGCTACGTAATGAGGCGGACAGGCTGAGGCTTTCTTCCAGTTGAGCGAACTGGAATGCCCGTACTGGTGTGTTAACCATTAGTGGGATCTCTGTCTGAAGAAACCAATGAAGACGTCACCCAGGAGTATTGTGGCTGGCTATTTAATCTGACAGAGAACAAGAAGCTCATCCTCATGACAGGCGCTTACTCAAACTGCTCCAATTCAGGACATTTAGGGGCTTTTGCTAACAAAAGTCACTGTTCCCTTTGCATTTCCATTACTGTCATGACTGAGACGATGCTCCATGCGCATGAGGGACACTAACCAGCGCCTTTGGCTCTACTGCTGCCTAGACTGTACAAAAGTTTTGAGGGTGGTAAACTGGTATGGAGGGAATGCTTTCTATGGGTTAGGCTGGCAAACAGAGGGCTAGAACTTCTGGGTTCTGTCCCTGGCTTTAACCTTATTGCTCATTTTACTCATGGCTGCCTCAGTTTCTCCATCTGTAGATGGGGGATGAGGACATTTAGATACCTCAGAAGGTCTTGTGAAACTTAATCAATGCTGATAAAGTGCCTTGGATAAAAGGAGTTGGAAACACTCATTATTATTTTTTTTATTACACCCTCTTCAACATACACTGTGATATTTCTGTATCTCCCCTCTTTGTCCAGCAGCAGCTTCCCCAGAAAGTGGGGGTCTTTTTGCAGGCCATTTGGGGAGAAACCTTTGCCAGAGGCCTGGTGATCATGAATGCCCATTTCTAGCAGTAGACCGGGCCCAACAGGAATGCAGGAAACTACATCCATTCTGCATACCACTGGAGCTGGGTCATGATTGTTATTGTCGATATTTCTCCTGGAGACCCAGAACAAGGATCAGGGCCCCATTGTGCTAGGTGCTGTACAAATGAGTACTAAAAGATTGTTCCTACCCCAGAGAGCAAGAACAAGGGAGTGAGGGAGCTGTTACAGAGACAGATGAGTAGAAATATTTATGAGTAAGAACTTCTGACATCAAAGTGCTGCAGCAGTGAATTATTTTAGAACTCACTACCTCAAGGGGTTTGAACTTCCTTGCCTTGCAGTCAGCTAAAGATGCTGATGTGAATTTAGTAAGAATTAAACATATTCTCTCAACTACTGACATTTCACTTGAACTGCCTTAAGTAGGATTTCTTCCCCCCCACCCCGCCCCAACTTCCTCAGGCTGCATGATTTGCGATGGAACAGAAAAAAAACAACAGAAGGTTCCAATCAAACTTACTAACATAGCTGTCAGTTGGCTGTCGCCCTGGCAAAAGCTTTGTTGATGCATATTGAAATGTCTGTGAGTGATCAAAAGTTTTCCTGTATTGCCATGGAAATGAAAAGGAAGCTGGATCTCAAGACAAAATCTTGCATCTCTTTGTCCGATTGTCGTCATCATCATGATGACACAGTACCAACATTCTCCACTGAAAATGAATGACACGTTTCCAGCGCTATCCTGTCTAGTGCCTGAGGTAGAAAGGCATGAACTATTCCCTTAGCCCTGCACCTCGTCACTTGCATAAAGCTTGAATAATGAGCTTGGGTACCGCAGTGTTGCCAACTCTCACAAGTTTCCCAAGATATCTGGTGGTTTTTGTGAATCCCCACCTCTTGGAGTTATGTTATTTTGTGGCGATGTCAATCTTCATTTAAAAATAAAATACATTTCTGGCCTTTTGTGGTTGCAGAGAAAAACAAATAAAATATAGGGTTTTTTTATTTTTAAATCTTACCATTATTTTTGGAGATGGACTCATGATGTTTGAGGTTGGTATGACTGCAAATACCAATCACCTTCTTCTTGCACTGAGCACTCCAATTAAATTCACCCTAGGCCAAGGGCCAACACAAAGTCTATGCACTCAAGATAGCATTCAAGTAAGTGGGACTTAAGTGCTGCATAGACCTCATGATCGCCCTCTGCACAGGGGTGAATTTCACCCTCCGTAGACATTTTATTCTCTTGACCATTCTTTCCCCACTCATGATATGTATTTCCATCTGCCCTTGTTATTTGACTTTTCTGATCTACCTCTGCTGTTTAAGATTTTCTCCTTCTTATCACTTCAGCCTTCACTTATCCTTGGTGACAAACATTGACTGATAACTCAGGAGTGGGGATCTATTAGAAGATGCTGTTTTCAGCTGTATGGTTCCCCTAACGAAGTTGCACTCCAAGCAGACACTGCAGAGGTTTGTGCAGTAGCTACAGTCTGTGACATGGTTTACCCTGTATTCATCTCAAAAAAGGAAATCTGTAATATTGCCAATGATGCCTCTTATCTGGCCAAAAAAAAAAAAAACCACCCAAAGCACACAGAAAACAGAAAAGTCCTCTCCAAAGCCATCTTGCAATTGTTTATATTTTCAGAGCAAATTACAGTGGTTAGATAAATAACCTGCACAGAACATAAATTCTTATAAATATTCCAAGTACAATCAGCTGCCTCTCAGCAAGGCTGTTTGTGCTATTTTACCCTTGGTATAAAGCTGCTATTCTTTGAAACCTGTCTTCTTTTGAAGTCTATTATATCTACCACATAACCTCTCTTTCCCCTTTTTATCTTGCACCTGGCTATTTCATTCCAATTCCGTCTCTCCTTAGAATGCCTTTATGGGAATGGGTATATTGCACTAACAATAAGGCGTGTGTATGTGTGTGAAGAAAAGCCATCAGCAGGAAGATGATATGGAATATGCTACAGAGAATGGTACTGCAAGTGTGTCGCAATATATGCTTGTGGTAACACATTTCCTGTGATCTATACGGAGGCAGAATACAGAGAGAGAGAGAGAGAGGGGAGTCAAGATGGCATTGAATGCCCAAAGATCTGGGATATGAATTCACAAGCTGCCTATTGTGTTACTGTAAAATGTTTGCATTCCTTGTTCATTTAAAATCATGCAACCCAGCCTAAAATACAAAGATTTCATATACAGAACATATGGCAGCAGAACTTCACAACCAGGCCAGATTGTGACAGACCCTTGCATGGGAGAAGAGTGCAAAGGACACTGTGATGGGGTGTTTACCCCCACACCAGCCTGGAAGGGGTCAATGAGGCTGAGAAGGGGCCAGTTAGCCAGCTAGGCCACGGCTGAGGGGAATTAGGTGGCCTAAGTAATCCCCTGAATGATGACGGCGCCCAGCTGAGAAGCAACAGGCAGGGCTAGGATAAAGCCAGGAAGCTGGCAACAGAAAGGGGCTGCAGGGAAGTAGGCTACTGTCACTGCCTGGGAGTAAGGAGGTGTGTTTGAGGCTACAGGGTTCAGTAGTCTGTAGTGACTCCCTGGGAGGAGGGAGTTTGAGTTGGTACACTGAGGGGCAGAAGCTGTATGAAGGAGTCCAGGGAAAGAGTAACAAAGTCCAAGGGAAAGCCCAGTTGCCATGTAGAGGGTCCTTGGACTGGAACCTGGAGTAGAGGGTGAGTCCGGGTTCCCCTACCAGCCGCTGGGGATGTGGCACCATTTGGGCAGTGCATGAGAAGACTGCCTGAGATCGTTGGTATGGAAAGACTTTGATACCCTAGAAGGGGAAGACTATAGTGATCTGGCCAGAGGGCCAAGCCACGAAGACAGAGCATCCTGAGTTTCAGGGAGTGTTAGAGAGATAGCAAGGTGTGCAGCACACAGCAGAAGGGAGTGTCAGGCCTGAGTGGAGCTAATCCCCAAGCGTGGCCACAACAGGGCTGCCGGGGGGGGGGGAGGAAGGGCAATTGGGACAATTTGCCCCAGGCCCCGAACCCCGCAGGGGCCCTGCAAGCACTGGCCCAGCGGCGGTCCGGGTCTTTGGCGGCATTTCGGCGGTGGGGGGGCCCTTCAGTTGCCCCGGGTCTTCGGCGGCATTTTGCCGGCGGGTCCTTCAGTGCTGCCGAAGACGCGGAGCGACTGAAGGCTCCCCCTCCCCCCCCCCCCGCCGACCGAA